ATCAATTATTCTACTGATTACTTAGGTAGCACGACATGTTTTTGGTTATACAAATGACTTATGTGCTCTACTATTATTTATTTTTCAAATAAATATATCCTATATATATATGGTAACACGATAAAGTATAGAAATCAATTATTCTATTGACTACTTAGGTAATACTTACACGTTTTTGGAGAAATCAATTATTCTACTGATTTAGCGGAATTTTACTGCGGTGACGTTAATACGTAAGTACCCCAATATAATATATATATATTGGGTTAACAACTAAGTAATTGCAGATTTTTCAAAGAAAATGATTGGTGAAATCTGCAATTACTTAGTTTTCAACCCAATATATGATACAGTAAATTGCAGAAATCAATGTTTCAACTATTTGATTATAAAACCATAATCTTCTATACTTCCACGTTATAAGGGAGGAAAAATATTATATGAAAAAAGACAATTTAGACAAATTTAATTATCCTTCTTCTTTTAACTTTGTCCTATTATCTTTAACTAAACAGCCCTAAATAGGCTAATTCTGCTAGTTCTAGGACCAATTATTTTTTTTTTAGCGACTCAAAGGTGCTAGTCTTGTCCACAAACCTTCTCATTTATCTGATAGTTTAGACAAATTGAATTATTAATAATTAAAAATAACAATTCTGTTATTCTTTTACTATAAAGATCAACATGGCTTAAGAGTTCAAGTGTTCTTCTTCCTAAGATCACTTTGCAATTTCTTTATTATACTCAAAATACAATCCCAATGAAGTACACTTTAAAGATTACCCAAAACCTTTTGGAAATTGTATGCAATACCTGCAATAATACATTGACCATGATGCTTAATAAGAATAGGGTTCATATTATTAAATAAATTCAGTACAGACTGAATTTGGCATGAATGCATTGAACATGGCACATTTGTTTCTTTCTTTTACAATATATAAATTTGAATTCTTTCAAAATTAGAATTAGATGACTTTGTTCTACCCTTCCCATATTCTAAAAACACCCCTATTGAAGTACATTTTAAAGATTACCCAAAACCTTGTGGAAATTGAATGCAAAACCTGCAGGAATGCATTGACCATGATACTTAATAAGAAAAGGGTTCATATTATGAAATAAATTCAATCTATACATGGCATTTGTTTTTTTCTTTTACAATATAATATAAAATGTATTTGAATTGTTCTAAAACTAGAATTAGATGACTTTGTTCTACCCTTCCCATATTCTAAAAACACCCCCAATGAAGTACACTTTAAATATTAACTAAAACCTTTTGGAAATTGTATGCAAAACCTACAAGAATACATTGACTATGATGTTTAATAAGAAAAGGGTTCATATTATGAAATAAATTCAATCTATATATGACATGTTTCTTTCTTTTACAATATATAAATTTGAATTCTTTTAAAACTAGAATTAGATGACTTTGTTCTACCCTTCCCATATTCTAAAAACACCCCCAATGAAGTACACTTTAAATATTAACCAAAACCTTTTGGAAATTGAATGCAAAACCTACAGGAATACATTGACCATGTTGCTTAATAAAAAAAAGGGTTAATATTATGAAATAAATTAGAACTATATTATTTCCTTTTACAATATACATATTTGAGTTTTTCTAAAACTAAAACTAGATGAAAAATAATGGATATCCCAGTATATACGTAAAATCGTAAAATTCGTAGTTTCTTAGTTAGGAAACGTGCACGTAGAGCGAGAGAGAGAAAGAGAGAGAGAGAGAGAGAGAGAGAGAAGAGTACGCGGTGTCGAGTATATCGGTAGAGTGAGGCACGTGTAACTGGAACGGGATGAAACTGGACACCAATAACCCACGTACACGCCGCCGGCGTGGTAAAAAGAGATGGTGATAGAAAGAGAAAGAAAGAGGAAGAGAAAAATAGATGACCAAGGGACAGAGAGAAAGAGAGAGAGAGAGAGAGAAAGAACAACTCGTATAAGGCACCACGTTGAAAACAAAAAATCGAACTAAAAAAAAAAGATAACAGGGGAGAAGAAGGGGCTGAGGGTAGGGTGAAGGGGGTAGGAAATTAAGTAGGATCAATTTCATTCGACCTGAAAATATATCATCATTGAATTAATGATTAAGATAATAATAATAATAATAATAATAAAAAGAAGTAATCATTTTGATTTCGCAGTGAGTAATTTCATATCGGATCTACAAAATGGTTACGTGATCAATGCTTCGAAGGATTTGGAATCTTCTGTATCAACTGGTTTAAACAAAAGTTTGACTTCACATCATCCATCTTTGAGTATTCATCATCCTCATCATAGCTTGCACGGTTCTAATACAACAATTTCGATTCATTCTACAACATCGTCTCAACAACAACAACAACAACAACAACAGCATCATCATCTTGAAGATAAAGTGTCTTCACCTAGCGGAGGACTTCACAGTTCAACGACTAACAGTAATTCTTCGACACCTTCTGCACCTTCAACACCTACTGCTGGCACTGACAACAGTGCTGGTTCCAATACTGCAACGAGTACCAATAACAATAATAATGGTAACAATGTTTCAACTGCAACAAGCAAACCACCTTACAGTTATGTTGCATTGATTGCCATGGCGATACAACACAGTGCTGAAAAAAGGGCGACCCTTAGCGAAATTTATGCATACATCACCTCGAAATTTCCTTATTATCAGAACAATAAGAAGGGATGGCAAAATTCTATTAGGCATAATTTATCATTGAACGAATGTTTCGTCAAAATACCGCGAGAGGGTGGTGCTGATAAGAAAGGCAACTTTTGGACACTCGGTATGTTAATCATTTTTAAAAATTATATTTCTATTTTTTTTATTTTTTTTTATGATTTACAATTAGTTAGGAATGTGTTAAATGTTATTAATAGATTAGAAATAAATTGTTGATCAAATTAATTGATTTGGGTTATCGTTCATTTTTCGTTCAATTAGATCCCAGTTTCGAGGACATGTTTGAAAATGGTAATTTCAGAAGACGCAGGCGTATGAAACGTCCATACAGAAATGCTCCTTATCCTAAATCTATTTTCGGTGATCCTTTTTCACCGACTCACGTTCATCTTGGTCCTAGAAATTTATTCGCTCATACGCCATCATCTTATGCACCAACAACATACGCCCGATACGACACGAGGTATTTCTATGATCAATAAATAATTCTAACACACATACATACACACACACACACTTACGTTACATTTATTTCATTGTCAATTAATTTTTATCAACAAAATTAGATTATATTATTTGTTTTTACATTTTTAGCGGATGGAGTCTTCAACAACCACAATTATCTTACAGTCATTGTCAATCGGTAAGAATTGAAATAATAAATATTAGTCATTGTTAAACATTTGTTTGTTTTCTCTTCTCGTTGACGTTTGTAATTTGCAGCTTCAACCACAGTTGCAATCAATGCAATCGATGCAGATTCCAACGATGAATGGTTACAGTCAACTGAGTAGTTCGTTAAGTGAGTCTCTGCTCTATCCTCCGAACATCAGTTCTATGAGCTCGCGAATCATTAGACGATCGGACAAAGCTTTTCAAGGCAATTACCTGGATGTTCCAGGTGGAACTACTGGATCACCAGGATCGATGACCAATGGATCCTTTGGTGGTACATTCACGGCCTGTGGTAGAAGACACGAAGCTAGTATGCCGAATGAAACTATGCCAGCAAGATGCTATTGGCCAGAAAGTGAGTTCATTTTATTTCATTAATTAACCAGTTAATTGAGTTTGACGTGTATACTCGTCATGAAGATAGTGACAGAATTTTGTGTAATGATGAATATACTCGTCACGAAGAAGTAGCAGGATTTTGTGTAATGACGAGTATATTCGTCGTGCAAATAAAGCAGCGATTATTGGATATTTAAATTGTAATTTTTGTGAAATATGAAACATATTCTCAAAATTCAAGATGTTTAGAATATTTTGAAACCAAGGTGGAATAAAAACAAAGGAATGAAATATAGTAGTACCCTGTTTTGGTGAATACCAATACAAAACAGAAATTTCAATTTTTAACTTTAAATATATTATGGTCTTGCGTTTTTTGTTAATTATGTAATATATATTATCATTATTACTTGCCAATTTTATAAAATAAACTTATCTTATTAATGGAATATTTTAACAGTGAAAATTATTTTGTGCTTGACGAATATACTCGTCACCAGTCAATTTATACGACACACAGCAGTGTGCACTTTCGAAACATAGTACCACAATTAACTGGTTAATATAAAATTGTTATTAGGTGTACAAATAAATTTTCCACGAATTTATTGTGACAGAACGGTACATTACGTTTATTCGAAGCATTGTTCATCACAAGCAACTACTTTTGCCCATATCTCAGACAGCATTCTGAAGAACTCTTCATCTTTTGAGGTTATCCACGAATTAACCTAATTTATAGTATCTTCATATGATATAAAGCTCTGCTCAGACAGACCATGTGCCTTCGATCGGAATAAATGATAGTCGGACAGCGCAATGTCTGGTGAATACAGCGGATAGGGTAACACTTCCCAATCAGGTGTTTTCAAATAGTTTTGGACCGGAACCGCAACATGTGGACGAGCATTATCATGGAGGAGAATAATTTTGTCGTGTCTGGAGTAGTAATTAGTGCGTTTGTCCTTCAGAACTCGGCTCAATCTCATTAATTGTGTTCGGTAGAGAACTCCAATAAAGGTTTCGCTCGGATTTGAGCAACTCGTAATACACAACAGCCCTGTTTTCGTACGTTTTCGGCCCTTCCACTGCGATCTTTGTCTTTTACGTCAAAGTCACCGTGTTTAAACTTTTGAAACCACTCACGACAAGTTCTCTCACTTAAAGCAGACTTATCATATGCTTCTACAAGCAATCGATGCACCTCAGCTTCAGATTTGTTTACAATTGAAGAAGTAAATTAAAAGTTGCTGCAAATGATGCTTATTTGGAACAAATTTAGACATTTTAGGAGAAACAAAATGATATGATGCTGATACAAAGTCAATAATACTTCAAGCCAATGTGTTAATGCTGTCTTTCATTTGTCAGCCATCTTTGAGTAGCGCCATCTTTCTTAAAATGGCGGATATTTATCTGTACACCTAATATAGGTTATTTGAAAAGTAATTTCGTATTTTTTCTTGACACAATAAATGAAAATCAGCAAATACCAATCCGTAAGATCTGTGTGAGGTTAAATTTATCAAAATTCAACAGTTTAAGTCAACTCGAAAGGCTTAGATTTAACTTTGAAGTGAAAATTGTCTTCATTTTTACAAAAAGAAACATGAAATTACTTTCCAAACAATCCAATATTTTACTTTGAATAATAACAAATGAAATATATAATGGAAAAGAAAGAAAAGATGTTTGCGTGAAAATTATTCAAATAATTAAATCTTGATGATTTTTCAATTGGTTACGTACTCTTTTGTATCATAGTGGTAAACGTGAAAGAGGAACCAGGTAGTACAGCGGCATCAACATCAACCGTCGGCGGTGTTCCACCGTCCATGATGGGAACCACAGTTGCATCGAGTGTTTCCGCCCCGGCATTTCCATCCGTCGAATTTCAAACGCGATCGAAGTGTTTCATGTGAATCCTTTAATCGATTTATTCGATATAAAGATAAACAAAACAAAAAAAAAACAAAAAAACAAAAACAAAAAAAAAATAAAATAAAAAAGGGACACTTCGTTTTTTTGTTCACTTTTTCGTACGTTAATAAACGTACCAGGTGTTATCACAATTCTATCTCTCTCTTTCTCTCTCTCTCTCTCTAGTTTTCTATTTTTATTTTGGAATAATTTTTAATTAATGCTAAATTTATTGACGTTTCGTAAACACACACAGTATAATTATTATTATTATTATTAATTTATTAATTTAAATAATATAAAATATATTCTAATGAAGAGTGAGATTTTAGTCAGTTGAATTGGCTCAAACGAATATTTTTTATTTTTATGCAATTTTAATTTCTAATTTTTTTGTTTTTGTTTTTTTTCAAAAGAAATAAAAACCTAATTTTGAATATCGAAAGAATTCTTTCAAGTATTTGTATTTCGCGTTACTTTAATTATGTTAAAAAAAATTTCAAGAATATTTTCAATGCAATTTGTATTCAATTTTATTTTCATTTGTTTTTTACTTTTTTTTCCAAAAGCAATAAAAAAAAAAAAAAAAAAAACCAGTCAATGTTAAAAATTGAAACATTCTTTTTAAGTAATTTATATTTCGCGTCGGTAATTTGATAAATTTATTTTTGGATATACGACGACGACGACGACGACGACGACGACAACAGAGGAAAATAATATTCTAGAATTTTCTTCTGGAACGTTACCATTTTGAATAATCTCACGAGACAAAATGACAGATCGATGAAGGACGAAGAGTAAAAAGCCAAACCGAAAATTTGTAAAGCAACGAATGCAAGTTGACAACGACGACTACGACTACGACGACGACTACGATGATGACGACGACTATGACGATGACGATGATGATATGCGTAATACATCGTCGCGGAACTATTTAAACGTTTCTTTGAAATTCCATGCGAGAGAGTGAGAAAGATAAAGGAATAAATAAGAGCACGAGTGTTTATCAATTAGCACGGTAAACTTATTCCTTTTTCTTTCTATTCTTTTTTCCTTAAAAAAAAAAAAAAATACGAAACGATGAAATTTAAAATCTTTTTCTACTCCTTTCCTTCTTCTTCTTCTTCTTCTTCTTCTTCTTTACCTATTCGAATATTTATTTAAAAATATCCGAGTTAAGAAAAAGAAAAAAGAAGAAAAGAAAAGAAAAGAAAACTGTAAAACAATATAATTATTGTGCAATTGCAATTTTAAATGTAACGAAAGATGTATAAATGTTGTTTCTTATCGAAAATAATCGCAAATATGTCCTTAAATACGTCCTATTTGTCGTAACGATTACAAAATTCAATGACGATAAGGACAATTAGATTTATTATTAATATATTATTAATTAATTATTACTTATTATTATTATTATTATTATTATTATTATATGATCTTAAGTTCTTATCGTAATATATATATATTTTTTTTTACACATCTGTAAATAATTAGTTAAGCGCACTATACTACTGTGAGTAAATGATAAGAATAAAAAGAAATTGTTTGTCGTCCAAGAATTGCGTGTTTTATTTTTTATATTTATTTTTTTTTTTACCTTGCAGACTACCTGTATCAAAATTAGTTATACCACGAAGTGTCTGGTAAATAAAATTAATATTAACACTTGGCACGCGGGCTACGTATTTTTACGTTTCTCGTAATCTATCACTGGAACACGGATCACGTGAAAATACGTATTTAGTAGATATGTAGTGAATAACGGGTAACGTAAAATTATAATACAGTGTGAAGTGAACAAAGTGTTTAAATATATATATATGATGAATTATACATTTTTCAATGCATATGTAGTATATAATTCGACAAAGATGTAAAAAAGAAGCCACAAGAAATTGTTGAACAAACTTGCGCGTGATTTACGAAAAAATTGCCGCTGCACGCATAACTTGACTTTGAAGTATACCCGCTGCATGCCAAGTGTTAAATATCAAACACACAAAAGATATTTTATTATTATTATTATTATTATACCAAAAATGAAGAAAACATCGATGAAACATATGGGATTAATGAACAATTCGAAGAGAGCAGTGTTGACGATGAAGTTACGGAGAACGATGATGAAAGCAACGAAAGAGAAGAATCTAATGACGACCAGTCATGCTGAAAATGTAACACGAAAAATAATATTATTATTATTATTATTATTATTATTAATTGACATTAGGAACTCGAAAGTTCATTGCTGAAAATACCAATCCCATCCCTGAGCCGCGACTCCTCCATTCGCAGTCTTCGTAGCCCACTTCCTTAAGACCCCGAAACAATATTGTCCTCCCATCTACGTCTCGGTCAACCCAAATGGTCTTTTCCCGTTCGGTATACCGATCAGTATTTTATGCACTCTTCGATCCACCCCCCATGCACGCCACGTGACATCCTGCCCATCTTAATCGGCGTGATTTTACGACGTTAATGATGTCCGGTTTTATTGTACAGTCGGTGTACTTCCATGTTATGAAGTTTTCCCATTCGTCCGTTTGCTCATCGCGTTTTGCACCGAACATTTTACGAAACAACTTGATTTTCGAAAAGCCTCAATTTCTTTTGGGCCCGTAACGTAAGTGACACCACGTTTGGTTACCATAAAGGACTACCGGTAGGATGATTGTCCTATATATCCTGATTTTGAAGCACCTAAATTGTAACCGCGAGCTGAGTAATTTATTGACATTGCCTAAATTGATTCTTTTCTTAAGTTCTTCGTTAATTTCGTTTCGTCTGGTTCATGATCGATCCTAAATATATCTAAAGTTGCTGACCCATTCAAAAATTGTATCCTGGATGATGACCAAAGTTTTAATATTAGGCACATTTTGAATTCTATCGATGATCAAATATTTGATAAACACATGAAAGATAAGATATTTAAAATAGAAAACCTGTATAGTAGATTTGATCGTTCCAATTGAATTGTTTTATTTGTTGGAGAAAAGTGTATTATTCATAGATGTTCCAAACTAATGGTGGAAGAGAAAAAATAAAAATAAAAATAAAAATAAAAATAAAAAAAATAAAAAAATAGAAAAAAAGAAAAAGTATAGTAGGTAGTAAGCCAGACCAACGAGAAACGACCAATGAACGGCTATGTTTGTGGAAACATTGTTTTCCAAACACAAAACGAACAACCCGTGCGTTTTAATATATCTACCTATCCCGTAAAACGTAGAGAAAAGGCCACGTCAACATTGTGCACACCATGCACCGACTGCAAGAATAGCACGTGCACTTTATTTTCCACCTACTCTAACTCAACGTACGACCATTTTTCATTTCTCCCTGTTCCCCTGCCCCCAATCCTCATCCAATCCAACTCTTTCTCTCTCTCTCTCTCTCTCACTCGTTCTCTCTCTTTCTCTTTTTTTATTCGATAATTATTATTAGTATAAAGATTTTATCGTTAATTCAACGGTAAAAAGGGTAGATATGTAAATAATATTTAATACATGTTACGATGATTGTGTTTCATGTCAAATGTA